ATCAACAGGAAAGTATTTTTTTGCAAATTCTCCAGCTTTAGGCAGACATAAGACATCTTCCTTATTGCAGTCTTTGTGATGATGATGATGATTGGTTTAGGAAAATAGGTTGAAATTGACTGACATGATCCTGGCCAGAGATCAGAGGGTTTTTTTTTTCCTCCTGCTTCAGCAACATATTCTTTGATCCCAGAAAGAAAGGGAGAGATAGGAAAGAATATCAATGATGAAAGAGAATCATTGATTGGCCACTTCCTGCAACCCCAACTGGATATCGAGCCCGCAACCTGGGCATGTGCCCTTGACCAAAAGTGAACCCGGGATCTTTCAGTCCACAGGATGATGTTCTATCCATTGAGCCAAACTTGCTAGGGCAGCAACATATTCTTTTTCTTTTCTTCTTTTTTTTTTTAATATATTTTATTGATTTTTCACAGAGAGGAAGAGAGAGGGATAGAGAGTTAGAAACATCCATGAGAGAGAATCATCAATCAGCTGCCTCTTGCACACCCCCTACTGGGGATGTGCCCGCAACCAAGGTACATGCCCTTGAGCGGAATCGAACCCCAGACTTTTCAGTCCTCAGACCGACACTCTATCCACTGAGCCAAACCGGTCCCGGCAGCAACGTATTCTTGAGGGCTCTGCCCAGCATCCATGGATAACAGTGGCATGAGAGACTGGCAGGAGAGGGGCTGCCAACTTTTGGGCTGGATGCCAGCAGGTTGTCTGGGTGATTTTTGTGGAGCTGCAGCCAGAATGCCCAGCCACTGATTGGCAGTTAATCATAAAGGGTAAGAATCAGCACAGAGAGGTTTGAATCCAGGCTCCACCCTTACTTGCTATGTGACCCTTGGCAAATTACTGAACTTCTCTGAGTCTCAGAGTTTTCATTTGCAAAATGGGAGCAATTATAGCCCCTGTGACATAGGGTTGCCATGGAGATTTAGTGATATAAATACCCAGCAGTAGGGAAAAAGATACATCCGGTTTATTTGTATCCAGCCCACTAGCTCTTGACAGATAATATATGAACAGACTGGATTCTGATTGCTCCTTCTTACCTTTATTGACTGATCCATTCACCAAGCATACCGAATGTGCCTCCTCTGTACCAGAGGACAAGAGGAGCTAGTGAGATAGAGTTAGAGCATGGTAGCCAAATACAGCCAGCTCCAAAGTGGTTTAAAAAAAAAAAATGAAGCCACCCTAGCTGGTTTAGCTCAGTGGATAAAGCTTCAGCCTGCTGACTGAAAGCTCTCAGTTTCTTCTTTTTTAAAAAAAAAATATATTTTATTGATTTTTTTACAGAGAGGAAGAGAGGGACAGAGAGTTAGAAACATCAGTGAGAGAGATTCATTGATCAGCTGCCTCTTGCACACCCCCTACTGGGGATGTGCCCACAACTAAGGTACATGCCCTTGACCAGAATCGAACCTGGGACCTCCCAGTCCACAGGCCAACACTCTAACCACTGAGCCAAACCGATTTCGGCTCAGGTTCAGTTCTGGTCAAGGGCACATGCCTGGGTTGTGGGCTCAATCCCCAGTAGGGGCGGGGTGCAGGAGTCAGCTGACCAATGATTCTCTCTGATCATTGATGCTTCTCTCTCTCTCTCTCTCTTTCTTCCTTTTCCTTCCTCTCTAAAATCAATAAAAAGATAAATTTTTTAAAAATAGAGCCAAGATTTGTTTGAGTGCCCCTCCCTTCCTCTGTCATCTTTTCTTGAGGGCTCCCTTCAGAGTTTTACTCATGGCTGTCCTGGTCCACCTCCTCACAGTCAGTAGATGCTTGTTCTCAGGAGGCCCTCAGTCTCTAATGCGTACGAAAGTACAAATGACTACAAATCTCTCCAAGAATGGGCTTGCAGCTGACCCTCCTGTAAAGCTGACTGCCTCCTGAAAGGCTGTTCTTATGCATAGAAAGCAAAAAGGTCCCACGTAGAAGGGCACAGAGGAATCATTCAGTCCGAACTCAAGCCAGGCGGAAGTGACTCTGTCTAAGCAGAATGACCCCACCAAGTACACCTGGCAGTCATGTGGCCGGGCTGCGTGGAAAGCAGAAATGGTTCTCCCAGACTCCATGGTCACTGCTCTACACCATCTGTGTATGTTCTTCTTCTTAATTCTTCTTCTTCTTCTTCTTCTTCTTCTTCTTCTTCTTCTTCTTCTTCTTCTTCTTCTTCTTCTTCTTCTTCTTCTTTTTAAAAAAAAATATATTTTATTGAGTTTTTACAGAGAGGAAGAGAGAGGGATAGAAAGCTAGAAACATCAATGAGAGAGAAACATCGATCAGCTGCCTCTTGCACAACCCCTACTGGGGATGTGCCTGTAACCAAGGTACATGCCCTTGACTGGAATCGAACCTGGGACCTTCAGTCTGCAGGCCGTCGCTCTATCCGCTGAGCTAAACCGGTGTTGGCCATCTGTTCATGTTCTGATGAGGTTTTTCAGGGCGCCCTTGGCAGGTACTGAGGCAGGACTAGAAGTGCCTTTGCCTTTCAAGAAGCCTGCAGCCTGACAGGGTACATATGTCAGACCCAATGCTCTTTGGCCACACCGATGTGAAATGCTGTCTTCGCTGTGTACTGCCTTCTCCAGTATGCACAAGACCATTCTAGACTCTCTAGACTCTGTTCTGTGCTCCTGCTGTCTCTTCCTGCACCACCGCTACGCTATTTCAAAGACCACCGCTTTAAAAATATGTTTTTATCCGGTACAGGGAGGCCTCTGTCTTCTTTTTCAAGAATGTCTTAGTTGTTCTCATATCATTACTGTCCCAGGTGGACTTTTCAATTAGCTTTTGAGTAACAGATATTGAACCCTCCTTCAGCACTTTTATTGATGCCAAGCCTCGGGCACTCTGAGGAGCCAGGCCCTGGGTTCCTGCCCTTGAGATCTCACAAACTCCGCAAGAAGTGTAACCAAACAAGAAGTGTAAAGCGACGTGAGGAATCTCACCCTGTGGGATCCAGAGCCAAAGGACGGAGAGTGCCCGCTGATGTGTGTTATGACTCCCATTGTTCCTCCACGCTGGGGAAGTCCGAGGAGGCTCCACCGGGGAGCGGCCTACTGGACTCAGGTGACTGAGCAGGCGTTTTGCAGGCACAGAAGAGAAGAAATGCTTTGAGTGGGGAAGTCAGAGAATACTTATCTCAGGAGACACATTTCACATGCGAGTTGATAGGCGTGTGCCCGATCCAGAGGATGAAATGGAGGGAGAGATCGCCCTGAGCTGAGACAATCACAAGAAGGCTCTCTGAAGATATGTTGGCTGGGTTCGAGTTGGAGGTGTCAGAGAAGATGCTGGAAGAGGTAATTAGATAAAAACGGTTTTTATTATAAAAGTAATACAAGATGACTTTTGACCTGGACTGCGAGGGAGGAGCCAGACAGGGCCGAGGAGGAGGTTGTCACCGAACAGTCGTCTCAGGAGCATAGAGGAACTCTCCTGGCTCCCTGCCTATTCTCTAAGACCCAGGATCCGGGAACTAAGAGTCCCCCGCGTGGACGTGGGGAATTCTGTGGTGGCGACGCTGCCATTCCGATTTTCAGGGGCGGGGTGGCCGCGGATCTGGGACCCGCAGCCCGGACGACCGAGGCTCGGCTCTGCGGAGGCCTCCGGCGGAGCTGAATGCTCTATGTCAGAATTGACCAATGGGATGACGGCACGCGGTTGCCAGGGCGACCGCGGAGCGGTGCGCGGAGGCGGGGCCTGGGCTGCGGGGGCGGGGCCGGGGCGGGGCTTATATAAGCAGGCCGCGGGGAGGAAGGCGGAGCGTGGGGTCGGTGGCTGCTGGGCGGGCGGGGCGCAGGCCGCGGGGCCGGATCCGGGGGGAGCGAGCGAGCGGAGGCGCGGAGGCGCGGAGGACCCGATTCACTCGCTGGGGAGATCTATGGGCCGAAGCCGTGTAAATGCGTTTTAAGGCGAGTGCGGGGCGCGGCTCCGGGAGCCTCGGGGAGCGGGCATCCTCGGCTCCAGCCTCCGGTGCTGATGTGCCCCTGGCCCCTCTTGCCTCCTTTCAGCAGGGGCCTCGGCTCCGCAACTGCCACTCCTCCTCGGGGTGTTGCACAAGTTTCGAGGTCACCGGCGACCCCCCCTAGCAGTGCGCCTGGCTCTGGCCCCTGCGAAGGAGGACGGGGCGTGGTAAGGGTGTGTATGTGTGTGTGTGTGCGCGCGCGCGTGTGTATGTGTGTATGTGTGTGTGTGAGTGTGTGTGTGTGTGTGTGTGTGAATGGGGGTTGGGGCGGGACCTCGGCCCTGCACTGGGGAGGGCTCCCCGGGAAGGACCCTCAGCCTTCGGTATCGCCCCTGGAGCCCGCAAGGCGCCCCCATGCACGTTTCGAATCCTAGCGCCCCAAGTCCAGCTGTCCCTCTTTAAAAATGTAGAAGCCGAGGCTCTGAGAGGGGATGGGGCGTCCCCAAGGTCACTCAGCGGAGCGCGGACTCGAACTCCTGCTCTGGTCTGGGGTTTGGCGCAGCCCTCGGTCCGCAGCCTCTTAGGTGGGCGTGGTCAGGGTCGGCCCGGCTGGAGACCGCCTCCCGGGACTCACGGCTCTTCTGCTCCCTTACTCTCTTTTCTTTTTAAACTAAAACCCCAATTCCAGAGCTGGAAAGAATCTCCAAAACAATACATCCATGTTATGGATGAGGAAACTGAGGCTCGGAGAGGCACCGGCATCTAGGCCTATAGTGCCTCGTCCCAGCCCAGGATTGGGGGTTGTCTCTACCCTTCCCAGTGGAGCCAGGCTCCCCAAGCTTGTGCTGGGGGCGTGGCGGGGTGTGACAGGCGTGGGCACCCCGGCCTGGTGAAGGGAGGGGGTCAGCGGAGGCCCCATCGCCCCCAGGCCAGCAGCACCTCCTTCTCCCCGCAGTGTGTTGCATACTTTCTAAGGCGGCAGCGGCAGCGGAGGCAGAGGCAGCGGCGGCGGCTCCATCCAGCCCATCGGCTCCTCCTCCTCCTCCTTCTCCTCCTCCTCTTCTTCCTCCTCCTCCTCGGCATGGCAGGCTACCTGAGTGAAACGGACTTTGTGATGGTGGAGGAGGGCTTCAGCACCCGAGACCTGCTGGAGGAGCTCACTATGGGGGCCTCTCAGGCCGCCACGGTGAGGGGCTGCGGGTGGGGGTGGAGCCGGCTCCTGGTGCAGGCTGAAAGGACCCCTGGGCCTCATCTTGTTCTTCCCCTTGCTATTCACACCTCGCTCATTGCAAAAGACAGACCTCTTTTATCCCCAGTTCCTGGCCCTTGCCCCCAAACCTGCCCTCCTGTTCCTGCCTTGAAATCAGCACCACTATCACCTACCCAGAAAGCTAGGAGGCCCTTCTTCTCCCTCTGCCCCCCCCCCCCCCCCAATCTAGGCATCACCAAGCTCTGTGAGTTCAGCCTCCTTAAAATTCCCTCCAGTGTGCTCCTCCTAAACTCCTTGTAGCTCAGATTTCATCTATCTCAAGGCTCCAGCTTCTTTCCTGCCTCATCTCTCCCCCCCCCCCCCCCCCCACACACACACACTTTATCACAGCCCTGCTCAAAATCAGAACTCTTTGGCTCTTCCCAGGTGCCTATAGAATCAAGTCAGAACCCCTCTGCCTTCACAGCCCCGTTGTCCGGCTTCTCCCTCGGTATATATCATGCTCCCTCAGAGCTGCACTCCTCTGCCCTGTGCCCCAAGGATGCCATGTGCCCTGTTATCACCCTTTGCCCAGGACACTCTTCTCCGGCCCTCTCTGTCTCTTACCTATTTCCACTCAGATCTCCTTCCTCACCAGCGTCACCTTCTCCTGATTGCCCAGGCAGATGGTCTATATTCTCTCTCCGTGGCCCCCACAGCATTGCATAGAAACTTCCATCCGGGCACGTACTCATGCCCTTGTCATTGCATAGGGCTGCATTCTCTCCCCGACCCAAATCCCTTCGGGGCTAGAGCCCTGTCTGGTTATCTCTGTCCCTCGGCATAATGCCCGGCACCAGTTTAAAAAAATGGGTGTCAGTTAAAAAAACAACAACAACAGTATTGGGCAAAGGGAAACAGTCTCAGCGAAGGTTTCGGCAATGTGGTCTCCCCCATAGCCTTCCGTATAGGCATTCAGCGGCTCTGTGGTGAGCAGCTGTCCACAGGCATGGGCTGCAGTGGCAGCAGGACAACCGCAAGCGCCGCTGTGTGGAAAGCGATGGGCTGTGGGCCACAGCTTTGGCCTTCAAGGAATTTCTCTCTTTCTGGGGAAGACAGGTGCACACATAGTTGTGATATTTCGGAAGCAAGTGCAAAGTGCAGCGGGAGCTTAAAAGCAGAGCTGCCGTTTTTTTGGATTGGGGGAGGTAGTGTCCCAGGTGAAGCTTGAAGGAAGGTTAGGAATTTTGGAGGCACAAGTGGGGGTGGGGTATTCCACGTGGAGGGCATGGTGGGAACCGGGGCTCAGAGATGGGAAAATAAATAATCGAGTCTGCAGCCAGAGTTTGTGCTGCAGGGAGGGGAGGGGGAAGGGCTGGGTCACAGATCTTTGAACGCCAGGCCGGGGAGTTTGCCTTCTGTCCTGTAGACTTGGGGAGCCCCTAGAAAACATAGAGCAGGGAGCTTTGTGGCTGCAGCCAAATTTGGGGGCAGATACTTGGGAAGACCAAGGGATGGCAAGCACAAGGCGGGAGCTGGGTGGGGTCTCACATTCCCCCATCTTGTTGTGCAGGGTGAGGTCACTGCCTTCTTCGTGGCCGACCTGGGTGCGGTAGTGAGGAAGCACGTCTGCTTTCTGAAGTACCTGCCTAGAGTCCGGCCCTTTTACGCTGTCAAGTGCAACAGCAGCCTGGGTGTGCTGAAGGTCCTGGCTGAGCTGGGGCTGGGCTTCAGCTGTGCCAACAAGGTGAGCGCCTGCCCCCACTAGCACACTGACCCTCACTGCCTACCGGGCACACGCATGGCTGGGCCGCCCTGGGGGGCCCTGGGGAGGCAGGAGTGACCTCTGGGAAGGGTCCTCTGGGAAGGGCCACTCCCTTGGAAGAGGAGGGAAGGGATAGGGAAGGAGAAACAAGCGTGGGATTTGCCAGCATTGAAGTTCCAAATTAGAATCTTGTGCATCCCTGGGGTAGACGGGTTGCCTTTTTTAAATGGAGTCTCTCAAACTTGTTGGCATAGAACTATACATGGTATTCTATTAATTAAAACAAAACAAAAAACATCCTCTCATTGTTGGGTTTCTTTTCCTTTTTCTTTTATAATCTTAATAATATGGCACTACATTTCCTTAATCCTTTTAGAGTTTTGTTATTGTTGCCAATTCTATTGCCTTTCTCATTTTATGAATGCTGTTGTCTTAATTCTCTTTTGCTCAGTTTGGATTTATTTTGCTTATTTGCTGTTATTCTGTATTCTCTGAACTCCTACAATGTGCTAGTCACTGTGCTAGGTAGGGTTGACTTTGGAGCGTTGAGTAAGACAGACTCTGCTGTCCTTGACTTGAAGGCTTAACTTACCTATTTTCATTCTGTTCTTACTTGAGAAATTTTAAGCTATAACCTTGCCTCAGAGTACAGCTTTGGATGTATTTATTTCCTCAGCAGACATTTATTGAGCACCTCCTGTGGCGCCAAGTAGTATTCTAGGTGGGGATTTAGCAAGCGAACAAAACAAATGAAACAACAACAAAAGGCCCTTTTTTCATGGAGCTTGCTTTCTAAAATAAGTTAAATAACTTAACCAATGAGGATTGATAGTAGTTTAGAAGGTAAACCCTCTGGAGAAAATTAAAATGGGAAAGGGAAGTAGGAAATATTGGATGAGAATATAGCACTTTTAGATAGTTTGGCCAGGGAAAGCTTTGCTGAAATTTGAATATAGCCCTGAAGGAAGCAAACTATCAAGCCAGGTGGGTACCTAGAAGAAGGGAATTACATGCAGAAGCAAGTGCAAAGGCCCTGAGGTGCTTTGGCTTGTGCTATTATCATGTCTGTTACTTTGTGTAATAGTCAGAAATGGTTGAGGGGACCCCCTTTTTATGACCCACGTTAAGCCCCTGAAAGGCAGCAACATGACGGGGTGTTGTGAGGAGAGTTTTAGAAAGGGTTTGGGGGAGAAAGGAGAAGAGCTAGCCTTGGGTAAGATGGCAGGACTGGTGGGCTCCAGGGGGAGACAGGTGTGAACCGGGGGGGGGGGAGCTGTCAGAACAAGCAGTTTAACCTCTATCAGAGACAGATGTTCATGTTGTTATTGATAGATGAGTTTCTCCCTCTTGTCACTGCAAAGCCCCCTTGCATTAGCTCTTGCTCTACGCACCCGGCGTTGTGCATGTGTTCTGTAAAGCCCTGGAGGGGCGTAGGGAGAGGGATTGCCATTTTGCACTTGAGGACACTGGGACCAGCTGTAATAGCTTGCTAGCAGCAGAGCCAGGATTTCCACCGAACACCCCGGGCCTCTGCTCAGGCAAGGAGGAAGGGGATCTTTTCTGCCCCCTGGGTCCAGGGGTGAAGAACAGGACCGAATCCCATTGACTACAGTCCTCTGCTTCTGGACACCAAGCGCTGGGGGACCCTTGGCCCTCTGGCCCCAGGGGCTGGCCTCCGAGGAGAGTGAGGGCTTAGACCTTGAAGTCAGTGGGGACTTCAGAAGCTTCCATCATTTGCTGAGTGCTCCCGTTGTGCCAGGAGCATTGCCAAGCGTTTTCTGTACATGATCTCATTTTATTCTCGCCACAATCCTGGGAGGCAGTTATTATTGTCCTGATTGTGGCTGCGGTCCTGTGAGGAGGCATTTAGTGTAAAAGCACAGAGGTAGAGTGACTCACTGGTCAGTGGCTGCTTGTGTATAGCAAGGGGGTCTCTGATTCTATAGCCGCTGTATTTCCCAAGATCCTAGGGAGAGGATGGTTGAGCTGAGAGGAGGCTAGTGACAGACGGTAACTGGAGCGCGGGAAGAGGCCAAGACCCCTCCTGGGGGGGATCGCGCAGACCTTTGGGTGAATGTACTGAGAGGTGACTGTGGGACGCCCAGCTTGCTATGGAAGTCCAAGGCTGCCCTCTTCTGGTCAGCCACAGCTGGTGGCCACACAACACCCTGATTGAAGGTCTGGTGGTGGCTGGGGCTGGGAGCACAAACCCACATCAAAGGGCTCCAGGGCCTTGCCGGAGCACGGAGCTCTATCAGCCCACCTTCCCAAAGACCTTATGTCCTCTCTCCTGACCTCATCCCTTGCCCTCTCTTGCTGTCTCCCTCTGCATGCTTCCATCTTAACAAGTCTTTCCTGGACACATGGTTCCCCACCCTCATCCCTTGCTCCTTCTTCAAGGCCAAAACGAGTTGTCTACACTCGTGTGTCTGCACTTGTCACTTATCTTAGCACCCACTCCTTATGCCATTGCTTGTGACATCCACTCTCAGTACTCCAAGGAAACTCCTCTTACCAACGTCCCCAGGATGCAGTGAGAACTTTATTTTAAATCTTCACTTTCAATTATTCAAATAATATATGTATTCACACACACACACACACACACACATGCACGCACACACACGCACGCACTTACACACACAGGACATCAGCATTATGTCTCTAGAGTTAATTGCCTTCATGAGTTTGAGTTTGGTAGGTAATATTTAAATGTGATCTATAAAAAATGAACACGATATCCTGTGATTTTGCAATGAAATATAAAAGATGGTCATGTATGTACTGTTCAGCAATAGCTTTCAACTCAGCAAGTTTTGAGTCCATGTTGATGCATTTAGACCTTGTTGGGGACACTCCTGGGTCCTCGAATTATTTGGCCCCTCAACAACATTCAGTGCAGGGACTTTTTGTATGTTTGTTTTTGGTAAGGACACTTAACCTGCGACCTATCATACTCTCGACACACTTTTAGGTCCAGTGTGTTAACTAGGCACAATGCTGTTGGCAGGCCTCTAGATCTTACTCATCTCGCAAACTGAAATCTGATGCCGTGGAGTAGCCACTCCCCATTTAATGACAAGTCTTTTAAAACATATTCAATAATAGCAGGTGCTCCTGCTTTTAAAGACTTGGGAAGACTGTCAGATGAAAGCGAATGCTGCTCTGCCCCTGCCCCACCCTCACGGGATGACTCCCTCAGGGACACGGCCTTCCATACAGACAGAAGTTGTGGGGCAGGCTTTGCTTGGACAGGAATGGCATTATAATCTCTGTATTGCCTTCACCTCTCTACAGATTCTGGGCACCAGCTTTTCCTCATCTTCTATTGCTCTTTCTTTTCTTAAAAATATGTTGATTGATTTCAGAGAGGAAGGGAGAGAGAAAGAACAACGATGAGAGAGAATCATTGATTGGCTGCTTCCTGCATGCCCCCGACTGGGGATCAAACTCGAAACCTGGGCGTGGGTTCTGACCAGGAATCGAACTGTGACCTCTTATTTCATAGACCAACGCTCAACCACTGAGCCACACAGGCCGGCCGCTCTCTCAATGGGAGAGTTCCTCTGGGTTCCGTCTCAGGCTCCCTTCTCTTATAAACTCTGCCTCTGCTTAGGGAATTTCATCTCCTCCCATGGCTTTCAATGCCATCAATACACCACCACCTCCCTCGCTTTGATCTCCTCTCCAGACCTATCTACTCAGCTCCTGGCTTGATAATGACACAAGGAGGCCTGGAATCCAGTGTGTTCAAAGACACTCATAATCTTCCTTCGGAGAGGGGTCCCCTGGTCTGCTGGGCAAGGAGTCCCCCTCAGACACCCTCACCCTACATCCCCACCTGTAACCCACCCCCCAGCCTGCCAGCCCTGCTTCCAGAACACAGCCCTCCCTGCCTTTCTGGGGCCGACTCTGCTCCTTCTGCCAGGGTGATTGGGACCAGTCTGCCCACAGCCCCCTCGGGCCCTTCAGGGGAACAGATTTAGAGCTTGCCGTTAAAATGCAAATCTGAGAACATCATTTCCCTTCCTGAAACCCTTCAACCTGTTTCCCATCACTCATGAATCCACATCAGCCTTCTTGGTTTCCTCATTGGCTCTGCCCACCTCCCTCCAACCTCATCTTCCCCCTGTGTGCACCCTGCCCCGGCCACTGCCCTCCTCCTGTCTCAGGCTGAGCACCTGTGGCCTCAGAGCCTCCTCACAGGCACCCCCTCTGCCGCAAGCCGCCTTTCCTTCCTCCCGTCTTGGCCTGAGAGGCCTCCTGTGGGTCTCAGCTTACATTTCTGACGCTCGGAAAGGCTGTCCTCCCCAACACCCGGTCTTCTCACTCACATTCTCTCTAGTATCCTGTACTTTTTCTTCATGGCTCTTATCCGTTTGCAGTTCCACTATTCAGTGTCTATTCATCCCTACCTGTCCCCCCCTCCAGCCTGAAGGGACCACAGGGCCAGAGGCCCGTCTGCCTTCCTTACCGCTTCTTTTCATAGCGCCTAGCCCGGGCCTGGCAACTCACAGAGCCCCAGGGACACTTGTCAGCTCAGGTGTGAGGCTGAATTCTCCACGGTACTCTGGGTAAGAGCTGGTGTGGCAGTTCTGGGTTAGAATTCCAGCCGTGCTGCTTATGAACTGTGTTACTTTGGATAAGTGACTTAATCTCTCTAAGCCTCTGTTTCCTATCTTATAAGATTATTATTAAGATTAAATAAGAACATAAATAAAATATTTGATGCAGTGGCCGGCATACGGCTATGTTTACCTTTTGAAAAAGTTATTGTAAAATTATAGTTGACAATATTATATATAGTTTCAGGTGTATGACACAGTGATTAGACATTTATATACCTTATGGAGTGTTAACCATGATAAATCTAGTAACCATCTGTCACCTTCCATAGTTATTACAATATTATTGTATTCTGTGTGCTGTACAGTACACTCCCATACCGTACATATTTTTTTAATCCTCACCTGAGAATATGTTTATTGATTTTAGAGAGAGAAAGGGAGAGAAGGAGAGAAAAAAAGAGAGAGACATCAATTGGTTGCCTTCTGTATGCACTCTAATAGGGGATGGAACCCGCAACCTAGGTATGTGCCCTGACCAAGAATCAAACCTGAAACCTGCCAAAACCGGTTTGGCTCAGTGGATAGAGCATCAGTCTGAGGACTGAAAGGTCCCAGGTTCGATTCCGGTCAGGGGCATGTACATTGGTTGCAGGCATATCCCCAGTGGGGAGTGTGCAGGAGGCAGCTGATCGATGCTTCTCTCCCATCGATGTTTCTAGCTATCTATCCTCCCTTCCTCTCTGTAAAAAATCAATAAAATATATTTAAAATAAAAATAAAAAATAGAAAACCTGAAACCTTTGGTGTATGGGATGATGCTTCAACAAACTGAGCCACCTGGCCAGGGTGGCTTATGTATTTTATAACTAAAAATATGTACCTATTTTTCCACTTCACCATTTTTAATTTTTATTTTTTTGCCCTTCTCCCATTTTCCTTTCCCCCTGGTAACCATAAGTTTATTTTCTATGAGTCCTTTTTTGGTTATCTTTTTTTGTTTGTTTGTTTTTTAGATACAACACAGAAGTGAAATCATATACAGTGTTTGCCTTTCTCTGTCAGATTTATTTTACTTAGCATAATATGTTCTAAGTCCATCAATTGTGCTGCAAATGGCAAGATTTCATTCTTTTTTATGGCTAGGTAATAATATTCCATTGTATAGCTATGGAATATTACATCTTAGCTGTTGCAAATAATGCTACAGCAAAAATATCTTTTTAAAAATATATTTTTTATTGATTTCAGAGAGAAGGGAGAGGGAGAGAGAGAATGAAACATCAATGATGAGAGAAAATCATTGATTGGCTGCCCCCTGCATGCCCCCTACTGGAGATCAAGCCCACAACCCAGGCATGTGCTCTTGACTGAAATCGAACCCGGGGCCCTTTAGTCCACAGGCCTATGCTCTATCCATTGAGCCAAGCTGGATAGGGCTGCATATATCTTTTTGAATTACTGTTTTTTATTTCTTCAGATAAATACCAAGAAGTGGGATTGCCGGATCGTATGGTGGTTCTCTTTTTAATTTTTGAGAAACCTCCATATTGTTTTCCATAGTGATGGCACCAATTCACAGCAGTGCGTGAGGGCTCCTTTTTCTCTGCACCTTGCTTCTTGTTTCGTTTTGATGATAGCCATTCTGACAGGTGTGAGGTGATGTCTTATTGAGGTTTTGATTTGTATATCTCTATGATGACAATGATGCTTACTATTTAGACATTTATAATCAAAGCTTCTTCCTCTCACCTCATGGGGTGAAGTGGGGAATAAAGCAGCTTCGGAGCCACTCAGACCCAGGCTCTTTGGGAGCGAGCTGTCCAGCTCTGCACTCGGACCTGTGTGTCCTGGCTGTGTCACCATAGGTGGACCTCTCTGGCGTCTGTAAAATGTGACCAATGAGTAATCCATAGGACAGTTATGGGCACCACTCGAGACGATGCACATAAATACCTTGTGCTGAAAAGGCACTAAATTAAAATTAGAGTCTTATGACAAACCCAGGGTGGTTACAAACGGCCTCTGTCTCCTCCCATGTTTCCAAACGGACTTCCTCTCAGCTTCTTTCCCTTCACCATGGAGAGTCAGACCTCAGTTTGAAAGTTGGTTCTGCCACTTACTTGCTACATGGCCTCTCTGAGCATCGTTTCCTTCTCTGTTGAATGGAGCTGACACGCATCTGATGGGGTTACCGTAGGAGTCAACAAAACAGAGATCCTGCAGTGAGGGCCGGCGAGCAGTGGGCGGTGGGCCCAGTGCAGCCCAGTGCTGAGTTGTGAAGTTGTATTGGATCCCAGCCTCGCTCATTCACTTATGCATTGTCTGCGGCTGCAGTGGCAGAGGGGTAATTGTGACAGAAACTGAGTGGCCGGAGCCTGAACCATTTGCTCTCTGGCCCTTTGTAGAAAAAATCTGCATCTCACTGGGCGCCTGAGTGTGGTAGGCACTCAGTTGATCATGGTTGCTGTCATTGTCCTCATTGTTGTATCATTAACGCAACCACCGGGCGGAGCAGTGTTCTGTAAAGGCAAAGAAAAGGGGCTATCCACACAGCAGGCCTGTGCCAAAGACTCCGGATGCTGTGAACTTCCTCATCCATCAACTAACATTCTCTCAGCATTTAAACCTGCCAGGAAAACGTGTCAGAGTCTCTTGTCAGGACCACTGGGAGTCCACATGGTGCCTTGGTGTGAATTAGGAAATATACTAACTCAGTTGTTGGTATAATGCACTGCCTTTGTTAGAAGGAGATGCGTTCTGCCTGGAGGCTGTAATAAACATACAAATCTGCCACGTGTTCTCTGTGAATGGGCCCCCTTCGGGCTGTGCAGGCATCACCTGCACAGCCCAGCCTGTCACAGCAGAGAGCCAGTGGGAGTCCTGGTGGTTAATACCTGCTGTTGAACAGCGAGGCCCACGTCTTAGGGATCTCTGCATGCGTAGCTATGATTCTGACCCTCACCTGTGTTTCCTTGGCTTCTGTGGGCCCCGCAGGCCCCGGTGCCTCCTCACCACCACCTTTGGGGCCCCACAGGCAGAGATGGAGTTGGTCCAGCGCATTGGCGTCCCTGCCGGTAAGATCATCTTCGCCAATCCCTGTAAGCAAATTGCACAGATCAAGTATGCTGCCAAGTATGGGATCCAGCTGCTGAGCTTTGACAACGAGATGGAGCTGGCGAAGGTGGAGAAGAACCACCCCGGTGCCAAGTAAGCTGAGAGCCACTTGTGTGGTAGGCAGAGGGGCGGGAGGAGGGGAGCTGGAGCCGAGGACCCTGCCCTGGCCCCAGCCACGGTCACAGGGGACGGGGGCAGGGGCCTTTGGATGGGACCTCGGACAAGGGCAGCGATAACTGATTTCAGCCATAGTGTGATGGAGGTCAAAGTCAAGGCTGAGATGGGGTGATTGGGAAAAGTTCATGAAGGAGGTGGCATTTCAGCTGGGCCTTGAGTAGTGAATCCAACTGTGTAAGCAAATGCATGGAGGTCAGAAGTAGCATGGGGTCTTTGAGGGACAAGCAGAAATTTAGTGTGGACATACCATGTGCGAGGGGTGAGGGAGACGGTGAATGATGCTGGCCACGGGGCAGGGACCTGGTGCACATGGGCTCTGCCAGGGGTCAGCACTGGACGGTTTGCTCAGGCTCAGGCTCCCACATGGTCACTTGTACCCTGGGATTCCATGGAGGGGTTTGGGGGTGAAGGGGAGGCCAGGTGGTGGGCCACTCTGGTTCCCCCACAGCAGCTTCCATTCTGTTTGTTACACACAACATTGGGGTTCTTTGTAAGCCTGTGTCTGAAAAATAGAATGGTTTTCCTCCTACAAGAGAAGCTGGAAAGGCCCGGCTGGCGAGGTGGCTGATTTGGAGGAAGTTGGAACTACGGGGGAGAACTGGAGAGGTCACGGCCAGGGCAGGGGCTGCGGGGAAGGGCCTAGGGAGTGGAATGGACAGGACTCGGAGGCCCACTAGCTGTGCAGGAGAGGAAGGGGTTGGGGGCCTGTGGGGTTGGAGGGCTCTGAGCCGCAGGGGTTCACACCCCTTGACTCAGAGAAGAAGTGGTTGGGGTGGGGGAGGCGGGCCCACGCGGCAGCGGCGCTGTCTCCCCTCAGGATGCTGCTGTGCATCGCCACCGATGACTCCCACTCCCAGAGCTGCCTCAGCCTCAAGTTTGGAGCTTTGCTGAACTCCTGCAGACACCTGCTTCAGAACGCCAAGAAGAGCCACGTCGAGGTTGTGGGAGTGAGGTGAGCGCCTGGAAGCCCCCACATGAGGCCCGCTGCCTCTTTCCCAGGAATTCATTCTCTCGGAGACCTCCCCGAGGTCCTCCAAGGAGGGCCTGTCCCCAGGCATGGGATTCTGCCTTTTGGGAGTTTCCTTTCTCTGTAAAGAAGGTTTGGCATGTCCCGCTGCCCCAACCGCACACTCCCCAGGAGGAACCTGGCTTTTTATGAGTTTTACCAGCCTGTAGGCCACATCTTTTCAATGACTTAACATCACAGCTTTCATTTATTCTGCACTTAGGACATCCCAGGCCCCGTGCATTATAGCCTTGTGGGGTCTTCTCCCCACTTGACAGATGGGGAAGCTAAAGCCTGGGCAGGCCACACCGCTGGCCGAGGGGTGCATCAGATCTGGCGGACTTGTCCCAGAAGGCTCAGTCCTAGGGGCAGAATGGAGGGGTGGCAGGGGCACCAGGTGCCAAGCTTCCCACCCACCCCTCACTTGCCCCATGGCCCTCAGCAACCCATTTAACCTCTTAGGCCCTCAGACACCACCCCTGTCAAACGGGCACCATGTCCGGTGCGCCTTTCCTGGCTGGGGCTGAGGTCCTGGCACCTGGGGCCCTGTGTGTAAGCCGAGGCCTTTCCTCCTCTCCCAGCTTCCATGTTGGCAGCTGCTGTCCCGACCCTGAGGCCTATGCTCAGTTCATCGCAGACGCCCGGATTGTGTTTGAAATGGGCGCCGAGCTGGGCCACAGGATGCACATCCTGGACCTTGGTGGTGGCTTCCCTGGAGTGGAGGGCGCCAAAGTGAGATTCGAAGAGGTAATCCTGGGGCGGAAGGGTCACATTGGGCTCTGTGCGGCGGGGTGATGGGGAGTTATAATGCTGATAGGGAGTCCACTGTGAGCTTATCCTATGTGTTAAGTCCTGTGCTTGGTGCTCTACCTGGATCTTATAATTAACCTTGTGCTACCTCTGAGCAAATGCGGCTTATACAAGTTATGTCACTTCCTGAGTCCATGGTAGACTCAGACCATGCACATGTTCGAAGCTCATCCAGGCCATATTTGCATAAGTCATAAAGCTTTTTGAATGTCTGGGCTGATGAGAAATCAAACGAGAGGGCAGGAAAAGGAAAGCAAACCTGTCTACCTTCCCATCTGTGAGATGAAATCCAGAAAAATGTGTCACTCAATCCCCACTCCAACCACTAGGGGTCGCTTCTCCTCAGCAGTAGAGCTTCACTGGGGAATATCCACATCTAGGACTGACCCTAGGAAAATAATGTGCTACAGACACAAAGAATTAGCCTCACAGATGAACATTGCAGCATTGTATGTCACAGAATTCCACGGGACTTCCCTGGTCCACCTAACACTCAGGAAAGGTTAAATTATGAAGCATTCTTATAATGTTTACATTTGCATTCACAGTCTATTAAGTAAAACAGGTTATAAAAAACATCCTATATAACAAAGAGGTAATATGTAAATTGACCATCACTCCAACACACAAGATGGCCACCCCCATGTGGACATAAGATGGCTACCACAAGATGACCAGCAGGGAAGGGTAGTTGTGGGTGATCAGGCCTGCAGGGGAGGACAGTTGGGAGTGACCCAGGTCTGTAGGGGAGGGCAGTTAGCGGTGACCAGGCCTGCAGGGGAGCAGTTAGGAGGGACCAGGCTGGCAGGGGAGGGCAGTTGGGGGTGACCAGGTTGGCAAGGGAGGGCAGTTGGGGGTGACCAGGTTGGCAGGGGAGGGTAATTAGGGGCAATCGGGCCAGCAGGGGAGCAATTAAGCATCCATCAAGCTGGCTCAGGAGCGGTTAGGGAGTGATCAGGCTGGCAGGCAGAAGTGATTAGGGGCAATCAGGCAGGCAGACAGGTGAGTGTGTGGGAACCAGCAGTCCTGGATTGTGAGAAAAATGTTCGACTGCCCGTTTAGGCCAATCCCACCGGGGTCCCAGATTAGAGAGGGTGCAGGCTGGGCTGAGGGGCAGTCCCCCCCATGCATGAATTTCATGCCCTGGGCTTCTAATATGCATATAACCCTGTCTTAAAAAATAGTGTTTGTATAAAAAAGAAAGAATTAGAGCTACTCCAAAAATTTAATGATTAGGCTGATCTGGATAACAATTAAAAATGTTGTTTTTAGAAAAGAACTTTAAATTCAATATTATTGTGTGTTAGTTTCAGGAGTACAGCATAGTGGTTAGATAATCATATACTTTATAAAGTGTTCCCCCAATATTTCCACCTGGCGCCATACATAGTTATTACAATATTATTGACTGTATTCCCTATGCTGTACTTGACATCCCTGTGACTATTTTGTAACTACCAATCTGTACTGCTTAAACCCTTCACTTTTTTACCCAGTCACCCAACCCCTTCCCCTCTGGCAACCATCAGTCTGTTCTCTGTGTCTATGAGTCTGTTCAATTTTGTTTGTTCCCTTATTTTGTTCTTTAGATTCCATATATAAGTGAAACCATATGGTAGTTGTCTTTCTCTGACAGACTTATTTCACTTAGCATAATACCCTCTAGATCCATCCATTCTGAAATTAGGGGTGATTTTTACCTTTTTGTGTGTGTGTGTCATTTAACAAATTGGTTATTTATGAAAGAACATCCACACCAGTGCTTCTGGAATCTGAGTACCACGTGTTACTTTAAGAGTGCCTCTTCCCACTGTGGGGGCATTGAGAAGGCTGATTTACACAAGCGTGAGGGGCCTTACCCTGCTCGGTCTCCCGCCTACCTTCTTGGCCAGCTGTTCATGGTTACCAGCTGGGGCCTTAGCAGCTGCCAAGTCTTTCTTTCTTTCTTTCTTTCTTTCTTTCTTTCTTTCTTTCTTTCTTTCTTTCTGTCTGTCTGTCTGTCTGTCTGTCTGTCTTTCTTTCTTTCTTTCTTTCTTTCTTTCTTTCTTTCTTTCTTTCTTTTTAAATAAATTTTTATTGTTCATATTATTACAAATGTTCCTTTCCCCCACCCCCACCATTGCTCTCGTCCACCAGGTTCCCACCCCACCCTCTGCCCCCTTCCCACCCCCCCATTGTCCTCATCCATAGGTGCACAGTTTATGTTCAGTCTCTTTCCATATCCCCCTCTCCCCTTTTCCCCATGAATCGTCAGTTCACTCCCCTTCCATACCTCTGATTCTATTATATTCAACAGTTAATATTGTTCATCAGATTTTTTTTTTTAAATTTCCTTGGTTTTTAGATTCACTTGTTGATAGTTATGTTATTTGTTGTTCATAATTTTTATCTTTATTTATTTTCTCTTCTGAAAGAACCCCTTTCAGCAATTCATATAATTCTGGTTTGGTGGTGATGAACTCCTTTAGCTTTTTTTTTTTATTAGTGAAGCTCTTTATCTGACCTTCGATTCTGAGTGATAGCTTTGCTGGATAGATTATCTTTGGCTGTAGGTTCTTACTATTCATCACCTTGAATATTTCTTGCCATTCCCATCTGGCCTGCATGGTTTCTGTTGAGAAATCAGCTGACAATCGTATAGGTGCTCCTTTATAGGTAACTACCTGCTTTGATCTTGCTGCTTTTAATATTCTCTCTTTGTGTTTTGCTCTTGGAATTTTAATTATGATGTGTCTTGGTGTGGTCCTCTTTGGATTCCTTTTGTTTGGAGTTCTGTGCACTTCCTGGACTTGTAAGTCTAGTTCTTTCACCAGGTGGGGGAAGTTTTCTTCACTATTTCTTTCAGTATGTTTTCAATATCTTGCTCTCTCTCATCTTCTGGGACCCCCATAATTCTGATGTTGGTTCGCTTGAGGTTGTCCCAGAGGTTTCTTACATTATCTCCAATTTTCTGGATTCTCTTGCCGTCTATCTTCTGCAGAGGAGTGTCTTCTGGCTCTTTATGTTCCCAATCTTTTACTTGATTCTTGCGATCTTCCATTCTGTTTTTAGGACTCTGTATAATATTTTTTATTTCAGACAATGTATTCTTTATTTCTTGTTGATTCCTTATCATTTCTTGTTGATTCCTTATTAATTCTAGTTGATCCTTTTCATATCCTCATAGGTCTTATCGATCTTTTCTAGGAAATTCTTAAAAAACCTTATAAGCGTAGATTTGAACTCTATATCCAGTCGCTTTTTGTCCTCCATTTCTTTCGTTTGTGATCTATTTCTTCTAGGCATTTTCGCAGTTTCCCTGATGGGGCGGGGTCTCAGGGTGGAGCCTACAGCCTTGGCTTCTGTCAGCCCCGCCCTATGCGGCTCCTGCATCTCAGGGTCCTTCAGTACTCCTTGCAAGCGCCTCTGAGAGAAAGGTGCCCTCGATTTTTGCCTGCTACCAAACAGTCTAGGCTCTCCCCCAATGAGCCCTGTATTGGGGTTCAGTTCAGTTGGAAGTGGAGTTGGAGGTGGCGTTCAGAGCAGTCTGGAGCCCCAGTCTCCTTCCCGCCAGGGCAATCCTGAGGCACAACCAACCGTCCCTTCTCTGTGCGCAATGTGCGCGCCACCGGGACCTCCTTTCGCCGCTCCCCCAGGTTTCCGCCTCGCAGCCCAGCTCCCTCTGTGTGAGCCTGGGTCCCCAGGGTCTGGCCTAGAACTGGGGTTCAGAGCAGTCAGAACTGGGGCCCAGCACAGTCGGAGCTTTTATCTCCTTCCTGCTAGGGAATGCCAACCAGGCACTCAGCTGCCCCTCCCTTCCTCTCCGGGCCCTTCCTCTCCGGCTCCGTCCTCTCTGCGTGCGCTGCGCATCTCCGTACCTGAGGCTTTTACAGCTCTCTACTCTTCCTTCTGGCCTTCTCCTTGCTTCTTGTTGTAGAATTTTCTGTAGTCGACTTTTCTGTAGTTCTGGGTAATGTCCATTTTATATTTTAGTTGTATCTTATTGAAATTGTTGTGTGCAGCTGCGGCTAGGTGTCTACCTGTTCAGCCATCTTGGATTCTCCCCAAGTCCCTCTTTCTGAAATCAAAGAAGCTTTCAAGAAATAGAATTGGGCCCTAGCCAGTTTGGCTCAGTTGATAACCTTCAGCCTGCAGACTGGAAGGTCCTGGGTTCAATTCTGGTCAAGGGCACATACCCAGGTTGTGGGTTCAATTCCCCAGTAGGGGGCGTGCAGAAGGCAGCTGATCAATGATTCTCTCTCATCATTGATGTTTCTATATCTCTCTCCTCCCTCCCTACCTCTCTGAAATCAATAAAAATATATTTAAAAAAAAATAGACTTGGAGCTGTCGCAAGTTTTCAGCATAAACTCCACTTTCAAACATGTAGTTGTCCACCCCCATTCTCCTACCACCAGATTGCTTCTGTAATCAACTCAGCCTTGGACCTGTACTTCCCGGAGGGCTGTGGCGTGGATATCCTTGCCAAGCTGGGACGCTACTACGTGACCTCAGCTTTCACCTTGGCAGTCAGCATCATCGCCAAGAAGGAGGTTCTTCTGGACCAGCCTGGCAGGGAAGGTAGGTGCCAGGCGGCCAGCGGAGCCTCATTCTTCCCTGGAGCTAAGGACTGGCTAGCTGAGCAGGGTCTGATTTTAGGGAGTGGGGGAATCTAGAGACTGAGTCCTTGCTGTAGGGAAACTTACAATCAAGTCACCTCACTCCCAAGACACTCATGTAGCATCTTTTATCCTATGCATGCTCATATTTTATGAAGATTAAGATCAAAACAACCTGAGGTAAAGTAGATATTTTACTAACTGTATTGTACAGATGAGGAAATTGAGTCTCAAAGAAAATATAAGTGAATTGCGTAAAGCTAGTAAGAGGGAAAGCCTGCATTTGATCCCATGTTTGTCTCCTCTCCTGAGTACAGGCTCTTACTCACCCAACTGAATCTCTAACTTAATGAAAATCATTAATGACAACTTATATTTGTCCAAGCCCACTTTACAGAGGACAGATGTAGGCAAGGAGAGGTTGAGTCACTAGCCCAAGGTCCCACAGCTGATAGGGGGAGTGCTGGTATTCAAGTCTAGGTTTGGCTAACTCAAGACGTCTCTGCCCACACCGCTAACATCAGTGCTGTTCCCTGCACTTCCTGATAGATCAGTCCTCTCAGCAGCCCCATAAGAGAATCCATATGGAGAGGTGGTGGGCTTCAGGTAGAATGGTGTGATGGTGTGTGTGTGTGTGTGTGTGTGTGTGTGTGTGTGTGTGAGAGAGAGAGAGAGAGAGAGAGAGAGAGAGAGAGAGAGAGAAAGAGAGAAATATTCTCCTGGCCTCCTTTATAGATTTTGGGGGGAAATTGTCCTATCTAGTCCCACCAGGGGACCTGGCTTCTCATTCCAGTTCATGTGTCGCCCCAGTTGTGTGCCTCTGAGCTAGTGGCTTAATCTCTTGGAGTCTTGAGTTTGTCTGGCCTGCTCTTCTGCCTTTGCTGGGGCATCAAGGTCTGTTGCAGACAAGGCATGCATCTCAGGCAGTGCTGCTAAGCCACAAGGTGAAGTTTCCAACAAGACAGTGAACCTCATGTCACACACAGCGGGAGGCAGGGGCAGCCCTTTCATTACCATAGCCATCATCTTTGTGGAGTCCACTAGTGTGCCAGCTCCCTACTTCCTCCCCCCCCCCATCTTGCTGCTTGCCCTGCCCCTGGCCTCTCCCTTCCCTGCAGAGGAGACTGGTTCTGCCCCCAAGGCCATCGTGTACCAACTGGATGAGGGCATCTATGGAATCTTCAACTCTGTCCTGTTTGACAACACCTGCCCTACTCCCGTCCTGCAGAAGGTGAGCCACTGGGGCCTGTTTCAGTTGTGTGGATGTGTTTAAATAACATTTCTGTGAGTGTTATCTAATTTTTAAAAGTGAAGCATAGTCATCGTAGAAAATAAACAAGGATGAAGAAGGTTATCACCCATAAACCCTCCCCATAGATTTATTTTCAGTCTTTAAAAAAATGTATTATATTTTGCCCCATGAGGTTGGGGTCATATTGTTTTGTAACCTGCTTTCCCCCATCTAATATGGGGGTGGGTAGCTCTTTCCATGCTATTAACTAATCTCTGACAGCATGCTTTTTGATGACTGTGGAATATTTTAACCCATCTGACTTTAGTGGTTGGCTGTTGGTTTCCTGTTTTTGAGCGCTGTGAGTATATCTTGACACCCATCTCTGATCATTGCTCTGGGTAAATTCCTAGAAGTAAAAAGAAACAGCTCCTCTCTAATGAGTGTTCCCATGTTAACACGAGAACAGGAATTTGCAAAACGTTCTCCTGGCCTGTGAACCAGCCCCGCCCTCCCACAGCTTCCTGGGCATCTTCAAAGGGAAAGAAAGGCAGTCACACCCTGGTATGTTCACATTTCCAGGCCTCTGTTTGTGTGGTCCTGCTTCTGGGAGGAAAATAGAAAGCCTAACCAGCACCTACACCACCACGAGCTTTCAATGTGTGTGTGTGTGTGTGTTTCTTTTTCTCTCCATTTTGTTTAGTTTTTCAAGGCCCAGTCACATGTCAGCTCCTGTGGGCAGGTCGAGGGGTCCTCCTTTGACTTAGTCGGTCCTCATTCTATAGTTGTGTTGTTAAATGTGGTTATGTCTGCTTGTCTCAGTAAGCTGCCCTGGAATTTAGTTTTATACTGTGATGCATTAGCACTGCCTGCTTTCTTGTGGGATCCTACATCCTATTGTTCCCAGAAAGAATCAATTATTTTGGATAAACACCCAGAAGTGGGACTTCTGGATCATCTGGTAGTTCTATATATATTTATCCTCACCCAAGGATATTTTTCCATTGATTTTTTTTTAGGAAAAGTGGAAGAGAGAGGGAAAGACAGAGAGAAACATCAGTGTGAAACTCATTGATTGGTTGCCTCTTGCACGGGCCTTGACAAGGGCCTAGGCCAGGGAGGAGCCTGCAGCCAAGGTATGTGCCCTTGGCCAGAATGGAACCTTTGGTCTGCAGGTCCATGCTCTCTCCACTGAGCCTAACTGGCCAGGACAGTTCTCTTTTTCATTTTTTTGTGAAATCTCCATACTGGTTTCCACAGTGACTGCACCAGTTTGCATTCTCACCAGGGTTCAATTCTCCTCAACCTTGCCGACACATGTTGTCTTTTTGATAATAGCCATCCTAACAGCTGTGAGTGAGGTGATATCTCAATATGGTTTCATTTGCATTTCTCTTTTGATTACTGGCACTGAGCATCTTTTCACATACCTGTTGACCATTCATAAAATATTTATATTTTGTTTTTTACTTTATAAAAAGGGTGTTGGACTTTTTAAAAACACTTAACACCCAGTTTCCTCAATACTGCCGTATGTCTCTAAAGTTCTTCACCTGACCACTGTGTAACACTGTCAGTGAATATGTGCAACTTTTGCATCCACTCTCCTCTCCAGGCATCTGGATTGTGTCCAGGTGTTAGTGACGGTGCTTACTATCGCTATGAATATTCTTGGTCTCTGTAATGCATGAGCAGAAGAGGGTGGAACCACTGAGCACAGGGCATATAGATGTTCAGTTTCATGAGACAGTGCGAGACTGTTCCCCAAAGTGGTTGTACTAATTGACAATCCCACCAGCAGTGTGTAAGAGAGTGGGAGGGTCTAAATTTTCGCCACACCACCACCATATTAGCATCTCATTTGTGGGGTTAAAAACAGGCTCCCTTATGGTTAGGTTAGGCTATGAGTAGCAGATCCCAAATTACATGATTTGAACAAGATATAAAGGCTCCTTTCACTCCAATCTAAATATCAGTTGCAGACAATTCAGAGCTGTTACCATGGTTTCATAGTCACGTGGAGCCATATGGCTTCCAGTTGTACCTACTTGTAGGCATTGCTCTCATCTTGGTTGATACAAATGGAAGCTCCAGACATTTAGAAAAAAGGTGAAGTCCATGCGCCAGTTGTCTTTTAAGGAAATTTCCTGAAAATAGCCACACAGTACTTAGGCTTTTATCCTGTGGCCATCACTACCTGGAAGGGAAGTTGGCCTTTATTCTAGGTGGTCATGTGCCCAGCCAAAATTGAAGGTTGAGATTACTGCAATAGGCAATTAGCAGCCTCTGCCACAAATAAGATAGAATAAAACACTGGATAGCAATAGAATGTAAGTTGGGAGATAAAGTGACTAAGTTGGTATTCTAAGATTTTGAATTATTTAAGTGAAAGGTAAAGATATTGGTTAATTTTTTACTTGAATGTGAATGTCTAGAGTAACCACTAAAATAATAGAAATCTTAATATATAAAAACCCTGGGCAGTAACGTCCGGCAATGACGGAGGCTCCACCAACCGGAAGTCAGTCCTGCATCTGCTGCAGGCGCCATACCCCAAAACCGACTGCTGTCGGGGCTGTAAACCAGGGCCAGAGAGAGGCCTAAACAGAGAAGCAGGGACTGATCTGTTGCCTCCGTGGCAGTTTTTGATCAGGACTTGCCTCTTTCTCTCCCAGTCTGGCCAGCAGCCATGCCTCCATCTCTCTCCAGGCCTCCATGGGGACTGCTGATCAGCCCACCTTTCTAATCAAGCCCTATTAATAGGCCCAGAGATGCTGACTGGCATAAAAACTGACCAATCAGAACCAAATCTGGGTCAACTGTGAGGAGCCAAGGTTGCCTAGGAGGTGGAGCTTTTGACGCTAACTGACATAGAAACTGACCAATCAGAACCAAATTGGCCAGCAGAGGAGGGCAGTTGGAGGCGAGATTAGACTGGCAGGGGAGGGCAGTTAGGAGTGATCAGGAAGGCAGGCAGAGGGGTTAGGGACAATCAGGCTGGCAGACAGAGGCAGTTAGGGGTGATCAGGCTGGCAAGGGAGGGCAGTTGGGGGCAACCAGGCTTGCAGGGAAGAGCAGTTGGGAGTGAGATCAGACCAGCAGGGGAGGGCAGTTAGGAGCGATCAGAAAGGCAGGCAGAGGTGTTAGCGGCAATCAGGCAGGCAGGCAGAGGCAGTTAGGGGTGATCAGGCAGGCAGGCAGGTGAGTGGTTAGGAGCCAGCAGTCCCAGATTGCAAAAGAGATGTCCGACTACTGGCAGTGGGACATCCTCCAAGGGGTTCCCATTTGGGAGAGAGTACAGGCTGGGCTGAGGGAACCACCCTTCTGTGCACGAATTTTGTGCACTAGGCCACTAGTATATAATTTCTAACATTGAGAGTAATTAAAAGTTTAGTTTGGACACCAACTTTAAAAAATAGACCAGCAAAATACAGTTAAGAGCACAGGAAAGAACCACATATGAGAAAAGTGTTGACAGGGCTCACAAGAAAGGTCATTGGGTACTGTGTAATATGTAATGCTAGAACATCTGATTGTCCATATGCAAAAAATTAAATTGGACCCCTATCTCACACCATACATGAATATAACTCCAGAAATCAATGTAGGCACAGTGAAGGATATCTTAAAAATAAAAAAGGAAAAGACTGTCTACATTAAAATGAAAAGCTTCTGTTCATCTGTTAGCAAAAGCAAAGAGGCAATCACAATCTGGGGGAAAATACTGAAACGTGTATATAACTGATAAGGGCTTAGTATGCAGAATATATGAAGGATTCTTAAATAAGAAATACAAATAAATAAGAACCTTAAGGAAAAAACAATGTGAACTAGAAAGCAATAGAAATATGGACAAAAGACTAACAGGCAATTAAGAAAAAGAAAACCAAATGCAAAATGGAAAGGTGCTCAACTTCGTTGGCAATTAAGGAAATGCAAATTGAAGTGAAAACAAGGTACTATTTTATACTGACTACATTAGAAAGAAGTTTAAAACATGGTAGCATCAAGTCTTGGTGAGGACATGGAACAGCTAGCTAGGTGGGAGTTTGTAGGCATTATTCAGATAAACATGTATATACCTACCTTCCAGCAATTCCTAGGTATATATTGTAAAGAGACTCTTGGCATATGTGTTTGAGGAGACATATAAGAATGTTCACAGGAGCAATTTTTATAATATAAAACATTGGAAACCACCTTATGTTTGTTGGCAGGGCAATACATAAATAAATTACAGTATATTCCATATAATGAATTTTCTTTTAAAAATATATTTTTATTGATTTCAGAGAGGGAGAGAGAGAAAGAGACAAAAACATCAATGATGAGAGGGAATCATTGATTGGCTGCCTCCTGCACGTTAAACTGAGCCTGCAACCCAGGCATGTGATCCTGACCGGAATCGAACCCGGGACCCTCCAGTCCGCAGACCACTACCCACTAAGCCAAACCAGCCAGGGCCATAAAATTAATTTTCTATGCAACATACTGCAAATTGCATTAGTTGGAATCTTGAGTGTGTAAGTTTCAACAACAAAAAAGCAAGTTGTAGAGATTACACTCTATAATTCCATTTACATATACTTCAAAAGTGTGGGAACTAAATACTACCTTGTTTAAGATTAAGTATGTTGCCAAAACCTATTTGGCTCAGTGGATAGAGTGTCAGCCTGCGGACTGAAAGGTCCCGGGTTCGATTCCGGTCGGGGGCATGTACCTTGGTTGCAGGCACATCCCCAGCAGGGGTGTGTGCAAGAGGCAGCTGATTGATGATTCTTTCTCATCGATGTTTTCAACTCTCTATTCCTCTCTCTTCCTCTCTGTAAAAAATCAATAAAAAAAATATATAAAAAGATTAAGTATGTTTTTGGAAAATTAAGTAAAACAAGAGAATTCCCTAGCCAGTTTGGCTCAGTGGATAGAGTGTCAACCTGCGGACTAAAGGGTCCCAGTTCAATTCCGATCAAGGGCACATGCCCAGATTTTGGGCTCAATCCCCAGTGGGGAGCGTGCAGGAGGCGGCCAATCAATGATTCTCTCTCATCATTGATGTTTCTCTCTTTCCCTCTTCCTTACTAACTGAAATTAATAAAAAAAAAAAGTATATTTAAAAACAAGAGAATAATAAAAACAAAATTCAGGATAGTGGTTACCTCAGGAGACATGTCATTGGTGTGGGCCACAAAGGAGTTTCAAAGATATTGGAAATTTTTCTATATCTTACAGATGATACAAATATTCTTTTGTATGAATTAAATATTTATCAAAAAATTTTAAAATTCTCATCCAAGTACATTTTTTTAATTGATTTTTAGAGAGAGGGAGAGGGAGGGAGGGAGGGAGAAAGAGAGAAATATCCATGTGAGAAACATCAATCAGTCCCTCCTCCTCCCCCACATGTGTCCCAATTGGGGCCAGGCATTGAACATGCAACCTAGGCATGTCCCCTGACCAGAAATCAAACCCACAACCATTTAGTGTAAAACGATGCTCCATCCAACTGAGCCACTCAGCCAGGACAGGTTAAGAATATTGCCCAAGGTCACACAACTAGCAAGTGTTGGAGCTTGGATTTAACCCCAGGCATTGTGGCTTCAGAGTCTTAAGAGGCAACGAATGCAGAAAAGTGGGAGGGCCTAACTGCCAGGCTAGGAGGCTCATCCGTCTTTGTCCTATTGGCTACGGGAGCCATGGAGGCTTTTGAGGGAGGAGTGATAAGGCTGTGGACAGTATGCTGAGGAAAGCTGAATGTGATCATCCCTCTTCCCTGCAGAAACCTTCCACAGAGCAGCCCTTGTACAGCAGCAGCCTGTGGGGCCCGGAGGCTGATGGCTGTGACTGTGTAGCCGAGGGCCTGTGGCTGCCGCAACTACACGTAGGGGACTGGCTGGTCTTTGAGAACATGGGCGCCTACACTGTGGGCATGGGTTCCCTCTTCAGAGGGATCCAGACCTGCCGCATCACCTATGCCATGTCCAGGGTGGCCTGGTAAGGGGGCCCTGCTGGGAGATGGAGTGGGGAGGGGGAGAAAGAGTGGGCTAGGCAGAAGCAATGAGGGAAATCTTAGGTTTGGGACCCTGCTACTGTGAAATTCAATTTGACAAGTAGCCCTTGGCTGTTGATTCCAAGTGAGGCCTGTGGTTGGCACCTGGCTGTGGCCATGTATGAGACTGAGCTTCCCTTGAGGAGGAGACGCAGAGAAGCAGACAGGACTCCTGATAAATTCTGAGCTGGGTAAAGAGGGCAGGTTGCAGAAGTTTAGATTCCTCCCTGGGGCCCAGATCCACCTCCCTGAGGAAGGAAAGGTGAAGTAAAGCCAGGAGATGAGTGGGATTTGGGCAGGAGAGGGCTCTGAGAAGAGGAGTCGGGAAGGGAACATTCTACACAAGGTTGGTCGTGGCTGGGGAGGGAGCAGGGCTGCATCTGAGAAGGGCCTTAAGAACTGAGAAGGGTTTTGAGCAGCAAGGGGGTAGCACGTACTGGCTTGAAGCACCACTCTAGCTACTGTGTGGATGAAGGGAGGCCAAGAGCATGTGTGGATAGACCTGATCAACCCAGTGGAAATATTGGCACTCACTTAGGAAATATTGGCACTCACTTATCTTCCATCTTCCCATCTAAAAAGCGAGTCTAAAAATGGCCCTTCTTCCTCACCACGCCAGTGTCGGGATCCAGTGAGCAAGATGGGAGGAAAGTTGTTAGTTGAACCCTTCTGTCAGGCTTTATGATTATTTCCTGTCAACCACACACAGCTCTGTGATGAGTGTTATCACAGATAGGTCAGTTGCTTGAGGTCACATAGCTGGTCAGCAGTGAAGAGCCCCTCTTTTGGAGTTGGTGAGATAGCTATGGGTGGCAGGAGTATCCACTCTCTCCACTGAGTGAGTGCTTACTACGTGCTAGTGTGCTGCTGGGGCACAGGCACATTGCCCTGATGAAGCTGAAGGAGGGCTCTGGCTGAAGGAGAGCTGTGGCTGAAGGGGGGCTGTAGCTGAAGCAGATATTGAATCCTTATCTTTATCAAGGAGAAGTACATTGTGCTGTGCGATTCAGCAAAGTCTTTCCTGAGATTCAGTCACTGAAGCCGAGACCTGATGGCCGAGGAGGAGTTAGTAAAGGTTGATGATGCAGGTGGAAGCACAAGTATGTGCACAGGCCTGGGATGGGATGCTGTGGATGGCACCCAGGGTGTGAGGATGGGCACAGTTGGAGAGGCCAGCTGGGACAGATCGCCTGGGGCCGGAGAGCGGATGGAAGCTGCTGGCAGCTCAAGAGCAGGGATTCACTCTTTGGGAAGATGGTCCTGGGCCAGCAATGTCTGGAGGAGGCCAGAGAAGACCCGGGAGACAGCGTACCCGGCTAGAGATGGTGGTGGCGGTGTACTGGAGAGAGCTGTGTGCTGCGAGGAGGTTCAGTAGCTGGAATCAGCAGGATCACTGGGTGTGAGGATAAGATTCCCAACTAGTGGCTGTTCAGAGGGTGGAGGCCCATATCAACATGGGTATATAAGAGGAGAAACAGTTTGTGGGATTTTTTTTTTGAATGGGGCAGGAGATCATTTTTTAAAGTGCCAAGCCTGGAGTATGAAGAATGTGGGAGTGAGAGAGCTGAGTGGAATCCTAGTTCTACCACCTTTTAGAGATGTAACCTCGGGCAGGTCACTTCTCTGTGTCTCAGTAAAATGGGAGTGACAATGCTGCTCTTACAATTAGATAACATAAGTAAACTGCCTGGCACAGTGGTCAGCAAACCATGGCTCTCGAGCCACACGCAGTTCTTTGGCCCCTTGAGTGTGCTCTTCCACAAGATACCACATGTGGGCGCACATGTGTACTGCGATTGAAACTTCATGGTCCAGGCACAGAAGTTGGTTTTTGGCCTGGGCGAGTCTATTTTGAAGGAGTGGCGTTAGAACACTCAAGGCGCCCAAGATCTGAATGTGGCTCACGAGCCAAGGTTTGCCGACCACTGGCCTGGCACAAAGTCTGCCACAGTGTGTTCAACAAATGTGGGTTCCTTTCCTTCTTGGGGGTGTTGGACTACAAGGGTAGGGGAGATGGTCAGCAGGCCTTCTCCTGACCTAGGCTGGGCTCTGGGGCTCAGGTGAGACCCCTATACTCGATGGGGGCCGGGTCTTCTGGTGCAGGGCCATCAGGAGCCCCCAGCCAGCAGGTCCCATGCTGGTGGCCTCCAGTGCCCCTCTCTCCCCCACAGGAAAGCAATGCGAGAGCAGCCGCTGCCTGCAGAACAGGATGAGGACGCCGAGGGCATGTGCAAGCCTCTGTCCTGCGGCTGGGAGATCACAGACACCTTGTGCGTGGGCCCCGTCTTCACCCCGGCGAGCATCATGTGAGCGGCTCCGTTCCCCCCGGAGAACCCCAGCGGGGCCACAGAGATGCCTCTGGGAGAGGTGGGGAAGGTGGCACGCAGGGCACCGTCTGGCCAGGACTCTGGTGCTCGCTCTGCTGCCCACCCCCCCTCCACCCGTAGTGTTTCTGCCCTGTAAATAGGACCAGTCTTACACTCGCTGTAGTTCAAGTATGCAACATAAATCCTGTTCCTTCCAGCTGTGTCCGCCTCCTCTGCAGCGCCAAGGGGCTGGTCAGCCAGGTGTGGGGTGTTCTCAGGGTTTCCCCCTGGTCTCCTTCCCACTTTTGTAAATATGATGCAAATAAATATTTAGGTTTTTAAATATTCCAGTGGAATCTGGCAATTCAATTCCCAAAGCAGCCTGGCTAGGCCAGCAGCGAGATGTCCTCCTACACCGAGGACCCCATGGCCTCTGCCGTGCGGGAATCTCCTGCAGCACCAACTCCTCTGACACCTCTTATCTCCACAGGCCTCCGTGCCTGGCCTCCTGAGGAAGGGGGAGCTGTCAGGTTGAGGTGGGCTCAGAGTTGCTTCCCTGGAGCTCAGCTCTGAGAGGGGCCTCTGTGTGAACCTAACACTCCACCTAAGGCCTGACCCTAAGTGGGGGCAATCGAGTATTAGACACAGCTTTGGAAATTCATACCAAAGATAATGAGCAAAGAGATGGGTTTTGAGGAGACCCTATACCCCCATTCTCCTTGCAGGTCTGCAAGGCAATACGAGGAATGCCAATACCTACATTGGGGAAAATTTGGTGGTTGTAGTATATCCATAGAGTTTGTACAGCCATCACCTCTATCAATTCTAGAACATGCTCATCACCTCAAAAAGAAACCCATCGGCAGTCACTCCCCATTCCCTCCACCCCAGCCCCTAATCTATTTTCCAACTCTACAGATTTGCCTATTCTGAACATTTCGTTTTGACTTTTTATACATTCATTTGAACGTCTCTCGGTAAGCCTGGTACAACGTGTATTTTTTCCACACCTCCCACAAATTCTCTGACATCAGCTAGATGTCCTACAATTCCACTCAATTCCGACACTACCTACCTGGAGATGCTTTAGATCCTACAGGTAAAGGGCTTGGTTCTACAAGACTGCCACCCTTGCCCCACTTCAGAGGCCAGTCCCCCCTGATGGACAATAAATCAGAGGTTCTGACCTCTTCCTTAGACCCAACTGGTTTGCTAGAGGGGCTCACAGAAGCCAGAGAAACATTTTATTTAAGGATTACTGGTTTATTATAAAAGGATATAACTCAAGAACAGCCACATGGAGGAGGTGCATAGGGAAAGGTATGGGGGACAGGCACGAGCTTCCATGCCCTCTCCTGTGCCAGTCTCCCAGCACCTCCATGTGTTCACCTACCTGGGCTCTCCGAACCCCGCTTTTTCAGGTTTTATGGAGGGTTCATTACATAGGCACATGAGATTAAGTCATTGGCCACTGGTGAGTGAACTCAATCTCAAGCCCCTCTCTTCTCCCCAGCAGTTGGGGGATGGGTGGGACATAGCAAAAGACACCTTCATCACTCTCACCACTTAGGAAACTACGATACCGTGTTTCCCCGAAAATAAGACATCCTCCGAAAATAAGACCTAGCGCATGGAAAGATAAGACATCCCCTGAAAATAAGACCTAGCGCACCTTTGGGAGAAAAAATTAATATAAGACACTGTCTTATTTTCGGGGAAACAGGGTAATGTTAGCTCTGTGCCTAAATGGGGATGAAGACCAAAGAGATACTTCTTATAAATCACAATGCCAGACGTGGACATCCTGTTTCAGTATCTTGACAGTCCTGGCTCCTGCCCATGGCTCTGAGGTCATCTAATGAGGCAATGTGTTCTGAGTGAATGAGATTCTTGCCAAAGCAGAGGTGTCTCCCATTTCCAGGCTGGGGTAGTCCTTGATATTTTGACAATAAGGAGGCTGAAATCTCAGGACACCAAGAGACTCAGAGAGCAGTCAGAAAGAGTTACTCTACCACCCCTGTGTTCTTCATCCAAAGCCATGTCTTACATATTACTACGCCAGGCTCAACCCCTCATCTATGAGACTATTCCTGAGACTTCTGTTTCAATGCCCAAGCACATCTGGACCCACTCGTGCTTTTCTTTTTTTTCTTTTTCTTTTTTGTGGGGAGGGGAGATGAAGAGAGGACAAACACAGGATCTTCTGCTAGAATCAGGCACTTGCTTCCAAAGGTGGCAGGTGGCTGCAGTGAGATCCAGGTAGTAACTCAGTTCCTTGTCTGAGGCAAGTGCACTGTGGAGAGCCCTCTGTGGCTTTTAAAGTGACAGCAGCTGGCACAGCGTTTGAACAGGTATCTCACTGGAGCCTTTCAATTGTTTCATGTTCCATTTGTTGCAAGAATGTGAAATTTACTTTTCTGAGGAAGATACACAGAACTTGATGTGCCTTATTTGAGAATAATAAAGTCATTTCTCTTCAGTTACTTGTTTTCGTTGTTTCCATCTTTTTCTAAAGAGAAAGAAGAAAAAGCATTAAATGTGTGGAGAATGTTAATGGGCTTCAGGCCTGTGCAGGGGAATCCAACCAGAGATCCTGGAGTTCCAACTGCACTGACATTTGCCTTCTTTGAGTACTTCCCTAAGCAATCCACTGACAAGGAACCCTCATGCCATTCTGGCTGCCCTAGTCACTTTCTTGTTGGACTCTCACAGATCCATCCTGGCCTGGGACCTCACCACAGGGGTATCCTCCTCCCCACCAGCTCCCCAAAGCTCCTCTTTGCTCCTTCTGGCCACTCATTCACTCACTCTTGGAGGTTAACAGATCTACTACTGCCCCAGACCAAGCGGCCATCCTCTGTCACCCAAGGGCTGGTGTTCCTCTTCCCCTCCCCAGTCCACTCTATTCAGCACCAGATCCTGTCACTCCAACAAATTCCCATTTCTCCAAGAATAAAATGTAAAGTCCTCACTAAGCTACCTCTCTGACTCCCCCCCCCCTCCCAAACTCACTACCCCTTTCAGCACAGCCTCTCTACCTCTCAAACACTCCATACAAGGCACTCCTGCTGTGTTGGGAAGCATGAGACTTGGAACATTTATAAGGAGGACATTCTGATAAAAGGGAAGCAGGTAGAAGGCCACCTGTCCTGTTTATTGGAATTTCGACTTAGAGGAGACTTAAGGGAGTGTCCAAGGTGGCATCCCTAGTTATTCCTTGATCTTTTCAAACAAGTCTGTGTATTTACAGACCCCTTGGTGTTTACTGGAATCCTCACGCTTAATCCCTGTATGCCCTTGCCTAGAGGACAATGTAAACATGAGTCCTCCCAAGATTACTTACCCTACTGATTGTATAATAAAAGACTAGCAAGGTAGGCAAACAGGGCTGCCTGGTTGCTATAGCCAGGCCGTCCCTTAGCCCTCTCTTTCACAGCAAACCTTGTGTCAGAGTAATCCATTCATCCGTCTCTCAGGGTCTGCTGTCCAGCCCAGGCACTACTGGGTCTGTATATACTGTCCTATCTCTTTGGAATGATTGTCCCAAGTTACCTGTGGGGCTCACTCACTTCAGGTTCTCCTCAAATGTTTTCTTTAGGTGAGGAGTTCTCCAAGCACCCTTTAGAAAACAGCACTTTCCAGTCTTCTCCCTTAACTGGTTTCTTCTTCCCTGCACCGATCACCACACGGCATGTTTGTCTGTGTATCATCTGTCAGCCCCTCTAGAATGTGAGCTCTTTGGCTGCAGGAACCTTAGTTATTTTTATCATGTTATTTTCCCATTACCTAGATCAAAGTAGATGCTCAAAGAGTATCTCGCAAATGGACAAACATAGCACTTAGCCTATCAATCTGTTTGTTCCTTTGTAAAGTATGGCTGCTAATTATACTTTCCTCATGGTTACTGTGAGGATTTAATAAGAAAATGGTATAAAGTACACAGTCCAGGGCTGAGCACATCATTAGGTGCTCAATAAATGATCTTGAAAGGTAATGGAGCATCTGTTGACCACTCACTGTGGCCAGGTTCTGTGGCATGGTGATGCAGTGAACTCATACAGGGCCTTGGATAACAGAGCCAGGAATCTAAATTTAATTCTGCAAACAGTAGGGAGTCCTATTGCTTTTGAAGCATGACAGGACCTTTGAGAAGATAACTGGAAGTGTATTCTAAAGCAGCAGAGGGAGGAGACCTGTGGGCTGGCGGTAGCATGCATTTCCTTCACGCCAGCCTGATTAAGGGGGGGGGGGGGCTGGCCAAAGAGCCTGACAGGGGCTGGGGGACACAAATTATCATCTCTATCCACCCCTGGTCAGGAGGGAGATGGTGGCTCTCTGAGTCACTGTCATCCTTCCCTAGGAAACCCACCTGGCCAAGACAGCTCATTCTAGCTGTAAAGGGACCATGGGGGAGGCAAAAGGATGGCACTTTCCACTCAACCCTTTGCTTCATTGTAAATCCTCTTCCTGGCACCTCTGGGATGAGCAGCTGAATAAATTCAACAGCGAAATTATCCAATACAGTCTCCAAGCAGTCAGAGGGGTCTTTCATGAAACATGAATTCTATCTTGTCAGGTCATTCTATCTTCCCCTTGAAAACCCTTCAGCTGATTCCTATTGTGATGCCAATTAAAGCTAAATTACCCGAGACCTTTGCCCACTGCTCCAGTCTCATCTCATGTTACTTTTTCTCACCATGCTCCAGCCCATTGGCCAGCTCTTTCCTGCCTCCAGACCTTTGCCCTGGCTGTTCCCCTCTGCCTAGATAGTTCTTCTTCCGGCTCATAGTACCTACCTACTATTGTTCTAAGGATTAAATGTTAACACCTTTAGATCATCAGAAAGGCCACAGCTTAAATGTCACCATCTTAGGAAGGTGTTTTCTGAACAACCTACTCAAAGTGGTTCCCCACCTACTGTATTTCCCTGAAAATAAGACATCCTCCGAAAATAAGATGTAGCGCATGGAAAGATAAGACATCCCCTTAAAATAAGACCTAGCG